TCCATCCATCCATCAAAAAAAAAAAACATCCCCCATCCACCCATCTATCCATCCATCTATCCATCCCAAAAAAAAAAAACCCCCATTCATCTATCCATCCCTCCCTCCATCCATCCCTCCAAAAAAAAAAAAATCCCCCATCCACCCATTTATCCATCCGTCATTCATCCTTCAAAAAAAAAAAACAACCCCCATCCATTCATCCATCCCTCATCCATCCATCCCTAAAAAAAAAAAATCATCCTCCCATCCATCCATCCCTCCATTCACCCCCATTCAAAAAAAAAAAAACCATCCATCCATCCTTCCATCCATTCCCCATCTATCCTTCCAAAAAAAAAAAACTCCCTTAATTCATCCCTCCATCCCTCCATTCATCCTTCCAAAAAAAAAAAAACATCCCTCCATCCCTCCATCCACCATCCATCCCTTCCTCCTAAAAAAAAAAAATCTTTCCATCCATCCATCCTTCATCCTTCCCTCCCTCTCATCCATCCATCCAATCTACAAACACCACTGAGTACCTCCCATGTGTCTTGCTTGGAAAAAAAAAAAAGTGGCAGCAGCGATAGATTTAGGAGGTAGGATGGCAGTGAGAAAAAAAAAAAAGGCATGGGGGAGGGACAGCCAAGGATGGCAGGGGAAGTCGGAAAAAAAAAAAAAGAAGGGGCATAGGAGCAGGAAGAACAGGGCTGAGGAGGGAAAAAAAAAAAAATTTGGGACTCATGAGCGGGGGAAACTTTGGGCTACACGGGGAAAAAAAAAAAAGGATAAACAGGCCTGCAGGAGAAACAGTGTCTCTGGAGCCAAAAAAAAAAAAAAAGCAAAGATGTGGGGCAGGGGAGACCTCCAAGGGAGTTGTAAAAAAAAAAAAACAGCCTGGGGAAGACCACAATGTGTCACCTCTTCATGGTGAAAAAAAAAAAACAGACTGACCTCACCTGTCACCTGCCCCTCCAGAGCCCCTTAAAAAAAAAAAACACAGGGGTGTACAACAGCCATCCCAGGCCCTGGCTCCCCAAAAAAAAAAAAAAAGGAACCACTCAGTTTGAGGGACCCCGGCTGCTGCTCTTGAAAAAAAAAAAACCCAGCAGGGCTCCTGAGCAGGGGCAGGGTGACTCACGCCTGTAATCCCAACACTTTGGGAAGCTGAGTCAGGAGGGTTGCTTGAGCTCAAGGGTTTGATACCACCCTGGGCAACATAGCGAAATCCTGCCTCTACAAAAAAATAAAAAAAAAAAAAAAAGCATGGTGTCATGTGCCTGTAGTCCTAGGTACTTGAGAGGAAAAAAAAAAAAGATTGCTTGAGCCTGGGAGGTTGAGGCTGCAGTGAGCTGGGAAAAAAAAAAAACACTCCAGCCTGGGTAACAGAGGGAGACCCCATCTCAAACAAAAAAAAAAAAAAACAAACAAACAAACAAAACGTTTTTTATTTTGAAATACTTAAAAAAAAAAAAAAGAGTTGTAAGGCTAATAGAGGGAGTTCCTCCACACCCTTAAAAAAAAAAAACCTGTATATTCATGATACATTTATCCAAACTAAGAAGTCAACACCAGTACAACACTGTTAAATACAGCCTTTATTTGGATGTCAACAATTTTGAAAAAAAAAAAAATTCTGTTCCAGAATCCAATCCATGATCCCAAGCTGCATTTAAAAAAAAAAAAACCCAACTGTCTTCCAGTCTAAGACAGTTTCTCCATATTTCCAAAAAAAAAAAAACCTTGGAAGTTTTGAGGAGTGCTGGATGAGTATTTTGCAGAAAAAAAAAAAATTTGTGTTTGTCTGCCATTTTCTCATGATTAGTCTGGGGTTAAAAAAAAAAAAGAAAAATCCCATGGAGAGGAAGGTGCCGTCTCAATCCATCCAAAAAAAAAAAAGCGAGAGGAGCAGGATGCATTCCTGGTGATATGCGTCTTGATCCCTTGGTTAAAGTGATGTCTGTGGGTTTCTCCACTGTAAAGATATTATTCTTCTTTAGCCACATTCAATTTGTTAGGAGCGAGCCACTAGGTCCAGCTCCACTCAAGGAGAGAGGAGTTAAGCCTCTCCTCCTGGAGGGAGGAACATCAAAGGATTTGTGGGCATCTGTTAGAACCAGCATGGTAATTAATCAACATTTCGGGGAGATGTAAAAAAAAAAAACCAATATCCCGTTTCTCCTTCAAGTTTTGCCCACTCATTTTAAAAAAAAAAAATCGATCTTGGCTTCAGCAACTGCCACTGTGGTACTCACGTGAAAAAAAAAAAATTCCTCGTTCCTTCTGCACTTATCCTTTGGAATTCTTCTGTAAAAAAAAAAAACCCTCTTTCTGCTGTTTATGCACTAATCTCACTCTGAACTCAAAAAAAAAAAAGTTAGAAACTGATTCTATCATTATCTGTTTTGTTGCTTCAAAAAAAAAAAAAATGTCCGCTGGAAGCTCTGGCAAGTTGGTTCCTGATTCCTTTAAAAAAAAAAAATTACTTCCTTACTTTCAGGCACTAGAAGATGCTCTAGCTCCTCTTATATTTACCTTGCCCTGGCCTTGGAATCAGTCATTTGTCCAGAGAGTCCTAGCTCCTTTTACTTAGAAATTAAGATCTAGGGCCAGGTGTGGTGGCTTACGCCTGTAATCACAGCACTTTGGGAGGCCAAGTGGGCAGATCACTTGAGGTCAGGAAAAAAAAAAAAACCTGGCCAACATGTTGAAACCCCGTCTCTACTAAAAATACAAAAAAAAAAAAAAGGTATGGTGGCACACGCCTGTAGTCCCAGCTACTCGAGAGAAAAAAAAAAAAGAGAATTGCTTGAACCTGGGAGGCAGAAGTTGCAGTGAGACCAAGATTGTGTCACTGCACTCCAGGTTGCGTGACAGAGTAAGACTCAAAAAAAAAAAAAAAAAAAAAAAAAAAAAGATCTGGGTGGTAGGTGTGCTGGTTGCAACTTGTGGCATCACTGCTTCTAGGCCTTCTCAGAGACAGAGCATATTTAGTGTACTAACCCATTTATGCACACATATTTATCTATCTCTACCTCTTTCCAACCACCCACCCATCTCTCTGTCAACCTACTATCATCTATCAATCATCTACCCCATCTCTCCATCCCTGTCTCCCTATCAATAGACATTAATTCCTA